CAATCTCCACTCCAGAGTTCAAGAGATTCTCCTGTCTCAGCCTCCTGAGTAGCTGGGACTACACCACGCCCAGCTAATTTTTTGTATTTTCAGTAGAGACAGGATTTCACTATGTTGGCCAGGCTGGTATTAAACTCCTGACCTCAGGCGATCCACCCACCTCAGCCTCCCAAAGAGCTGGGATTACAGGTGTGAGCCACCACACCTGGCTGGAATTTGTTTTTTTTTTTTTTCTTTATTTTCTTCTAAAACATCCTGTCATAGCATGTTCACTGACAAATATTACCGAGCATTCTGGTTAGAAGGTACAAAAATACAGTAGAGAGAATGAGTAAGACCTAGTATTTGGGAGCACAACAGGGTGACTACAGTGAACAACAATGTATTGTACATTTTAAAATAACTAAAAGAATATAAATGTAGTGTTTGTAACACAAAGAAAGGATAAATGCTTGAGATGATGGACACCCCATTTACCATGATGTGATTATGATGCATTGCATGCCTGTAACAAAATATCTCAAGTACACCATAAATATAAACACTGTGTACCCATAAAAACTAAAAAATATACATATTATTATCCAGCTTTTTTTTCTTTTGAGTCTCACCCTGCGGCACTGGCTGGAGTGAAATGGCACAATCACTGCTCACTGCATCCTGTACCTCCCATGCTCAAACCATCCTCCCACCTCAATCTCCAGAGTAGCTTGGACCACAGGTGCGCACCACCACGCCCAGCTAATTTTTGCATTTTTTTGAAGAGACATGGATCTCACTATGTTGCCCAGGCTGGCCTCAAACTCCTGATCTCAAGTGATCCTCCAGCCTCAGCCTCCCAAAGTGCTGGATGATAGGTGTGAACCACAGCACCCAGCATTATGAGCATTGTTCTGTACACTTTTACAGCACAGTGAATACATCAGACAGGTATCTGTCCTCAAAGGGCTTATGTTGTTAAGAGAGAAACACACTAAACCTACAAGCAGAAAGTGTAGTATCATTTCAGATACAGATAAGTGCTACGGCTAAGGCAAGCTCATTTGATAAAAAAGGGCTGAGAGAGGTCACTTCAGATACTATGGTCAGGGAAGGCCACTGCAGGGAGGAGAACATGGAGTTGAACCGCAGATGATAACCCAGGAAAGCATTTTATTGTATCCATTTTAAAGATGAGAAAACAGTGGCTCACACCTGTAATCCCAGCACTTTCGGAGGCCAAGGTAAGCCAGTGGATCACAAGGTCAAGATCATCCTCATCAACAAGGTGAAACCCCACCTCTACTAAAAATACAAAAAAATTAGCTGGCCGTGGTGGTGCGAGCCTGTAGTCCCAGCTACTCCGGAGGCTGAGGCAGAATTGCTTGAACCCAGGAGGTGGAGATTGCAGTGAACCGAGATTGCCCCACTGCACTACAGCCTGGGCGACAGGGAAACACTCTGATTCAAAAAAAAAAAATGAGAATAAAGATGCAGGAAGTTAATTGAGTTGCCTGTGGTCTTACAACTAGTAATTAACAAATCAGGTTTCAAAGCTGGCTCTGACTCCTAAACCCGCCTTCCTCAGCACTACGTACAGGCAAAGAGATTTTAGCTATTCCAGTATCTTCTACCCCAGTCCTGCCTCCCAACTATGCTTAGAATAGCCTTTCTCAAATTCTACTTTGGACTCCTTGCTATTTCCTAAAAACTGCTCAGAGGCACAAAGGGGAACCTCACCACCCATCAACAAGTTTAAGGAAAGTACCAAATGTCTTTCAGGAAACTTCCCAAACATCAATGAATCATCTGCATCCTGCTTCATGGTTTACTAGTTCTGAAGCCTTCCCCCTTGGAATTTTATTTTATTTTATTGAGACAGAGTCTCACTCTGTTGCTCAGGCTGGAGTGCAGTTCTCAGCTCACTACAACTTCCGCCTCCCAGGTTCAAGCGATTCTCCTGCCTCAGCTTCCCAAGCAGTTGGGATTACAGGCGCCTGCCACCACGCCCCCGACTAATTTTTGTATTTTTAGTAGAGACGAGTTTTCACCATGTTGGCCAGGCTGGTCTCAAACTCCTGACCTCAAGTGATCCACCTGCCTTGGCCTTCCATAGTGCTGGGATTACAGGCATGAGCCACCACACCAGGCCTTAACTTTGGAATTTTATTAATTTAATTAATTAGTTATTTATTGAGATGGAGTCTCACTCTGTCACCCAGGCTAGACTGCAGTGGCAAAATCTTAGCACACTGAAACCTCTGCCTCCCGGGTTTAAGCAATTCTGCCCCAGCCTCCCAAGCAGCTGGGATTATCCCCCTCAGGTTTTTCTTGTTATTATTGGAATCTTGCTCTGTTATCCAGGCTGGAGTGCAGTGGCACAATCTTGGCTCACTGCAACTTCTTCCTCCAGGGTTCAAGTGATTCTCCTGCCTCAGCTTCCTGAGTAGCTGGGATTACAGGTGTGCACCACCACGCCTGGCTAATTTCGTATTTTTGGCAGCGACAGGTTTTCACCAAGTTGGAGAAGCTGAACTCCTGACCTCAGGTGATCCACTCACCTCCGCCTCCCAAAGTGCTGGGATTACAGTCATGAACCACCACGCCTGGCCCCCCTCAGAATTTTATTTGACCCTCACCACTCTGTAAGGTTTCTGGACAGGAACTAATCTCAGCTTACAGAGAAACAAGCATAAACTGATGAGGTACTGGTGTTGCCTAAATAGCTGTGATCAAGGCATTTAAACTAGTTGGTTCTCAATTTCCCAAATTTCCCATTAAAAAAAAAGGAGAGGACATTGAAATGATAATCATTAAAGTCTTATCTGGAAACAAACTTTAGGGAGATGGGTTTGTCATTTGGTAAAACCTCAAAAATGAAAGGAAAATTTTGGTGTACTTTAAAATGTTTTTCTGGCCCTTTTAAAATTAGATTTGTTTTCCTTGTAGTTTTGGGATATAGCTGAGCAGATAACTCCATTTAACTTCCTTAGGTCCTTCTATGATCATTTATTAATTCAAACCACTAAACCTAACACAGGCAGAAGAAAAGTTTCTGAGAAATTTCCTTTTTTTTTTTTTTTTGAGACGAAGTTTCGCTCTTGTTGCCCAGTCTGGAGTGCAATGGTGTGATCTTGGCTCACTGAAACCTCTGCCTACCGGGTTCAAGCAATTCACCTGCCTCAGCCTCCTGCGTAGCTGGGATTACAGGCATGTGCAAACCACATCTGGCTAATTTTTTTTTTCTTTTTTTTCTTTTTTTGAGACAGAGTCTCCCTCTGTCACCCAGGCTAAAGTGCAGTGGTGCAATCTCGTCTCACTGCAACCTCCATCTCCGCGGCTCAAGCAATTCTCCTGCCTCAGGTTCCCAAGTAGCTAGGGCTACAGGCACCTGCCACCACGCCCAGCTAATTTTTGTATTTTTAGTAGAGACAGGGTTTCACCATATTGGCCAAGCTGGTCTCGAACGCCTGACCTTGTGATCCACCTGCCTCGGCCTCCCAAAGTGCTGAGATTACAGGCATTAGTCACCCACGCCAGGACAAGGAGAAACTTCTTTAATAACAGCTTTGTTAGTTGAGCTGAATTGAATGTAAAGTAGTTACTTAAACAGCACACAAAAAAATCATTCTGGTTTCAATAAATGTGAAGGTTATAATTTGGACGAGGAAAAAAGCGAAAGTTACTTGTACTCTCTAAAGTTTTCCCAGCAAAGAAATAGGAATACAACAGAGGATACGTACTTAAAATATAGCTCCTTAAGAGAATGTTTATGGGAGGCCGGGCGCAGTGGCTCACGCCTATAATCACAGCACTTTGGGAGGCCGACCATCCTGGTCAACATGGTGAAACCCTGTCTCTACTAAAAATACAAAAATTAGCTGGGCATGGTGGCACACACCTGTAGTCCCAGCTACTCGGGAGGCTGAGGCAGGAGAATTGCTTGAACCCAGGAGGCGGAGGTTGCGGTGAGCCGAGATGGAGCCATTGCACTCCAGTCTGGGTAACAAGAGCGAAACTCTGTCACAAAAAAAAAAAAGAGAGAATGTTTATGTATTTTGATTCATAATTGTCTCCTTCTAAGGGTTGATATACTTTTCTTAGGCTAGTAGTCTTTACAAAGCAGCAATATAGGCTGTGCGTGGTGGCTCATGCCTGTAATCCAAGCACTTTGAAGGCCAAAGTCAGCACATTACCTGAGGTCGGGAGTTCACGACCAGCCTGACCAACATGGTGAAACCCTGTCTTAAAAAAAAAAAGCAGCCATATAATTACGTTTCTTTTAAAAGTACTTGTAATTCAGACTTTTACTAGCTTTCCACTTAATATGACTATTTTGTTTTAAAAAGTTTTTTTTTTTTGATTGCAGAAATTTATTAAAATTCGAGACTGTTTAATCTTCTTGTGCCATGAGACTCCATTAGGCTGTATACAAAGCTCACTGGGAGGCTGAGGATTACTAAAGCCCAGGAATTTCAGGCTGTAGTGAGTGTCAAAGGGTCACTGCACTCCAGCCAGGGTAAGGGAAGACCCTTTCAAGGGGTAATCTGCATGCTTTCTTGCTTGCTTGCTGTGATCATTAAAAACCATAGTTTTTAGGATAAAAGGTCTGCCTGCATTTCATCAAACATGAATTCTGAGTCCTTTGCTTCTTTAAAACTTGCTCCAGGCCGGGCACAGTGGCTCACGTCTGTAATCCCAGCACTTTGGGAGGCCAAGGTGGGTGAATCACAAGGTCAGGAGTTCGAGACCAGCCTGACCAACATAGTGAAACCCTGTCTCTACTAAAAATACAAAAATTAGCCAGGCGCAGTGGCACGCGCCTGTAATTCCAGCTACTCAGGAAGCTGAGGCAGGAGAATCACTTGAACCTGGGAGGCAGAGGTTGCAGTGAGCCAAGATTGTGCCACTGCACTCCAGCCTGGGCAACAAAGCAACAGACTCCATCTGAAAAAGCAAAAACAAAACAAACAAACAAAACAACTTGCTCCACACAGTGTAGTCAAGCCAATTCTCCATACCTTTAAAAGGTCTCCAAACATCTGCACCCAAGCCAGCCATCCAGGGATAAAAACGTTACCAGTAGCTGGAATACAAATGAGGACTTCCATTAAAATGCTAAACATCATTAAACTCTTTTCAAAGTTATCTGTCACAGAGTTAAAAATTTGCTTTAATGGAGACAAGTGTCTCGCCAGGTTGCTCAGGCAGGTTCTAAACACCTAGCCTCAAGGGATCCTCCTGTCTCAGCCTCCTGAAGTGCTGGGATTACAGGCATGAGTCGCCATGACCTGCCCATTTTTAATCACTACATTTACCTGTTATGACTAGTTACAGCTCTGAACTTTAAAGAACGCCAAGCTCGCCGGGCGCAGTGGCTCACGCCTGTAATCCCAGCACTTTGGGAGGCCGAGGCGGGTGGATCACGAGGTCAAGAGATCGAGACCATCCTGGTCAACACGGTGAAACCCCGTCTCTACTAAAAATACAAAAAATTAGCTGGGCATGGTGGCGCGTGCCTGTAATCCCAGCTACTCAGGAGGCTGAGGCAGGAGAATTGCCTGAACCCAGGAGGCGGAGGTTGCGGTGAGCCGAGATCGCTCCATTGCACTCCAGCCTGGGTAACAAGAGCGAAACTCCGTCTAAAAAAAAAAAAAAAAGAAAAGAATGCCAAGCTAAGTCAAGCAAAATGTGTCTGCTTGGTAAAAAGGAATCTAAAATAAAAATATGCATATAAAGAAAACGTGGTCAGGTTCAGTGGCTCAGCCTTGTAATCCAAAAGAGGCCGAGGCGGTAGGATCAGCTAGGAGTTCGAGACCAGCCTGGCCTGTTTAACATGGCACTATTCTGGCTCTAATAAAAATACAAAAATTAGCTGGGCATGGTGGTAAGCACCTGTAATCCTAGCTAGTCAGGAGGCTGAGACAGGAGAATCGCTTGAATTTGGGAGGTGGAGGCTGCAGTGAGCCAAGATCCTCCCACTGTACTCCAGCCTGGGTGACAGAGCAAGACTTTGTCTCAAAAAAAAGAAAGAAAGAAAAATAAAATGTGTCACTTTTTTTATGTTTTCTGGCTAAAACCTTTTTTTTTTTTTAAAAAAAAAAAAAAAAGCAATTAGAAACTCATAATTACCTTGTTTCTTTTTAAGATTTTTAGTTAATATGGTTTGTATTCAGACATACTAAAATGAAATAAAATGGGGAAAAAAACGCCTCTGAAGAGTAGCATATTTGTTTGCTACTTTGAAAAAACCAAAACGCTAGAAGAGGGGTTTTTATCTATTCTAATCTCCACTTGGAAAATACTACCTATACAGAGACACAATGAAGATATTTTCCTTTCTTTTTTAAATACTGACAGGGTTTCACTGTTTCCCAGTCTGGTCTCAAATTTGTAGGCTCAAGAAATTCTCCGTGGCTTCCCAAAGTGTTGGGATTACAGGCAAGCGTGAGCCACTGTGCCCAACCCACAGTGAAGATTTAATCAGCAGTAATAAACACCTATGTAGAAAGAGGATGTGTGCTTGTCATCTGCCTTCTGGAAAATTAAATACAGGCACAAAGGATTCTTCTGCTACATGTCTGATCTTGCCCTCCACAATACCCGTCTACAAGGATGTTTATAGGGAAGTGTTAATCCCCACCTAATGCAGATTGCCTATTGAAATCACCTCACAGTGGCGATTTTTTCCGGAAAATATTCTCGTTTGGCAATTTTGACTTACTCATTCTTTTGCAAAGTCAACTTGTTATTAGATAAACTTTAAAAATAAACTTTGAAGGTAGCATTCAGATAACACATCCTAAATTGTGTCTAGATTTAATTTACACAATATGCACTTTTTCTCCTAATTTGCAACAGAAAATAGTCAGCAGCTGGTAGTTTCAGAAATCACCCTTTTGCCGAGTCTTAAAATTTTTTTATTCCAGGGAAACGTGAAGATTGTGGGGCGCTATTAAAAAAAAAAAAAAAGCAAACCACAGGGCCTATCTGGCCACCTAAAACGCAAGTGTTTTGGTTTCGCAAAGCCCTGGAAACTAACCGTCTCCTTTTTGCTCGCCCTACCTGTCATGACACGTTGTATCATTTGTAGCAAGCTCTGGAGCAGGGCATTTAAAAATAACGTTTTCTTGCTCAAGTACCCCAAAAAATCTCTTGATTCTTAGTGGCAATATCCAGTTGAGTCTTTGCACACTTTGTTTTTGCCGGCTGGGTCAGAACTTTGCGAGAACCCCAGGGGACCTCGCAGGAAGCCCGGTTGGTAGTTATTTTTTCTCCACCTGCCACTAGGTTGCACTAGATTTAGGATGCTGGGGAATATGCGCCATTTAATTTTTTAAAATAAAGCAGGACCATCACGGGACGAGACCTGAGAGAGGGAAAAAGAAAAGCCGACGCGACCGGGTTTTTCATTAAAACCCCGTTCAAATCGCCTTCCCTTCAAAACGCCTAAAAGAGCTGAATTCTATTAAATACTGGTTGGCAGGTTTTTTCCTCGGGTCCACGTCACGAGCTCCCTCATTCTCCGCTTCAAGGTTCCTTTCGACTCCACAACGTGAAGCCAGGGGGAAGGCCTCCTTAAACTGGGGGTTTTCGCCAAAAAAGCCAGGGTCACCCCCCGGGAAAGTCCCTATTTAGGGGTTTATCGGGAGGGGACTGAGCCTGACGAGGCTGCAGGGCCGCGAGGCCCCGCCCCCCCCGGGGTTCCCAGCGTGCCCCGCGCGGAGAGGACGCGGCGACGGAGGCGGGGCGAGGAAGGGGCGGGGCTAAAGGGAGAGAAGGGCGTCGGTTTTGCGACAGGGGCGGTGGGTTGCGGAAACGGAAGTGGAGGGTGCGCTTGGCGGCGGCGGCGGGAGCTGCGGAGTCGGGAATCAAAACAAAGGGCTTGGGGGGGCGGGGGGAAGGCGGCGGGGCCGGAATGTGAGCGGAGGTGGAGCCGGCGGCAGAGGTGAGTTTGTAGACAGTGCTGCGGCCAGATCGTGGCTGGCCCTGCTCTGGGGCCAGCGGGGCGGGACGGAGGACAGTGTCCCCCCCCTTCCCCCTCCTATTGCTGGTGGGATGGTGGTGGAGTGGATAGGTTGGCTAACTGGGACGCGCCAGTCGGGTCCCCCACGAAAGAGTTAGCTTGTCTCCCTTTCGTGTCCGTTTAGTACTGTCGCTGTTGGCGCCCCTGTTACCCTTCGAGGGTATTTGGTTCCCCGCCCGCCCCTGTCTGCCCCTTGTGGGGCCCTCAAGGAGTGAAGTGCACAGTTGGAAGGTTAAGAGAAAAGGAAAGGGGAGGGTATTTTTGCAGCACCCTCCCACATGCCCGGGCGTTTTGCGTTCTCCTCTGCTTTTTAGCAATCCCTAGGGTGTAGTCTTAGGGTTGACAGATAGTGTTGAGCTGCCCTAGGGCGTCAGCCACTCTCACTAGTAGTTGTAACACGACCTCGTGATACACCTTTTAAAGTTTCTCCAGCACCTTTCCGATATTACCAAGAGCCGTCCAATTGCATTTGTATCTTTTGGACTTCCCTGCATCTCTGCATATCGGTGGATTGAAACCTTGTCTTCCTAGATACTTATTAATCTTTATTAGTTCAACAGTTTTTTTTATTAAAATGTGCTAGGCATTGTACTTTGGGTAGGAGATAGAAGAGTGAATAGGAAAACGTAGTCCCTGTTGTCATGGAGTTTATATTCCAAATGGGGGGAAAGATAATAAAATAACAAGCTAAAAGGGCATTTTAGCCAGAAGAGCTATGGGGGAGAAAACGGTAATGGGATGGGGTGATGTGGGGTCGAGGGCTAGACTGGATGCTACAGAAACATCATTTGCTAAATGTTCCCCATGGATTATCTCATGTAATCCAAACAACGGCCTAGTAAGGTGGTTTCTATTATTATCACACCTATCTTGGAGATGGGATCTGTGGTTCAGAAAGGTTGTGAGTTGTGCAAAGCTGCACCGCGGTAGAACTGGGGACAAAAATGCAAACAGTCGACAGAGCCTATGCTCTCAGCTCCTAACTGAATTGCTCAAAAAACTTGAAGAGAGTGACAGGAAGGAGACTGTCACTCGTCCAACAGAATCTGCTTTTGTCTACCTAAGCTGCCTCATGGATAATTGGGAAATTTTGAGGGTGCAGGCACCTAACAAATTTTTACTTTTTTTTTTTTTTTTGGAGACAGAGTCTTGCTCTGTCGTCCAGACTGGAGTGCAGTGATGCGATCTCGGCTCACTGCAACCTCCGCCTCCCTGGTTCAAGAGATTCTTCTGCCTCAGCCTCCCAAATAGCTGGGACTACTGGCGGACGCCACCATGCCAGGCTAATTTTTGTATTTTTAGTAGAGACGGGGTTTCTCCGTATCGGCCGGGATGGTCTCGAACTCCGGACCACGTGATCGCCTGCCTGGGTCTCCAAAGTGCTGGAATTACAGGCCTGAGCCACAGAGCCCAGCCAAGTTTTACTTTAAATCTCTTGTATTGAGAGTATTTAAGGCACCTTGATGTAGCGAAGGGGTGAACAGGCCTAATTTTGGGTCAGGCTAGCTACATAAATTCATTAAGTTTCTGTTTCCTCCTCTGCAAAAATGTAGCTAATTTCTTCCCTGTCTACCTCACAGAATAATTGCGAAAATTATATAAGTGGGTTTTTTTTCCATCATTATATTCCTTGTACCAAGCACAGGCCTGCTGCATAGTAGATACTAAGTAAATATTTGCTAAATGAAGACATAAGTCATGTCACATGAAAATGTCTTGTAAACTAGATTATACTGTAAATGTCAGCTCACTTTCAGGATTTGGCTTTGAAGAAGTTTGAGAGACTGTTGATGTACACCATGAATATTACAGATTCTTATGATTTTGAGAGGACCCTATTGGAGGCCATGAAACCTGTATCTAATAAGAAAAATGAGACTCATAATTTACTGTCAGTGGTGGCAGTTAAATCCCCCTCTGTCTCCAAATTAACCACTCCCAACAGTGTGTGATAGGTAAATGGCATGCTTTATTAATTGAATTCCTCATTCATTCAACTACTGTTTACTTTGTATTTACAGAGTGGGGGTCCCTTGGTTGGCACAAGAGATATGGTTGTGAAAATAGACAGTGGGATTCATTTTATCTAATTTTGTTTCCTCTAATATGGTGACAGGGGAGAAATTAGCCATATTTTACATAGGACAGAACAGAAACTTTAAAACAAATTTTTTTTAGAGACAGAATCTCATTCTTTTGCCCACGCTGAAGTGCAGTGGCACAGTCATAGTTCACTGCAGTGTCAAATTCTTGGCCTCAAGAGATCCTCTCACCTCAGTCTCCTGAGTAGCTGGGACTAGTTGCTCTCTGCCACACCTTGTTGATATTTTAAACTTTATTATTTTTTTACAGCTGTGATCTTGCTCTGTTGCCCAGGCTGACAAGAGCCAGATAGTAAACATTTTAGGCGTTGTAGGCCATACAGTCTGTTTGCAAAGAGATTCTCTTCACAGCTCTCCAATTGGAATACAAAAGCAGCCTTAGGCAGTACTTAAATGAATGAGTGTGTCTATGTCTCAATAAAACTTTATTTACAGACACTGAAATTTGAATTTCATATAATTTTGTTTGTTTGTTCATTTGTTTTTGAGACAGGGTCTCACTCCATAGCCCAGGCTAGAGTACAGTGGCACAATCTCATCTCACTGCAACATCTACTTCCCTGACTCAAGTGATTCTTCTTGAAGTGAATCTCAGCCTCCAGAGTAGCTGGGATTTACAGACATGTGCCACCATGCCTGGCTAATTTTTGTATTTTTATTAGAGACAGGATTTCACCATGTTGGCCAGGCTGGTCTCAAACTCCTGACCTCAAGTGATCCAGCTGCCTCGGCCTCCCAAAATGCTGGGACTACAGGCATGAGCCACCACGCCTGGCATCAATTTCCTATAATTTTGTATGTCACAATGTATTATTATTTTTAATTTTTTTTTTCAAAAATTAAAAAGTATAAAATGCGTTCTTAGTTCACAAGCCATTTAAATACAAGCTGTGGGCTGATTTTGGCTGATGGGCCGTAGTGTACCTCTGCATTATGGGATCACTTCTGTACCTTCAATATAGTACTCGTATAATCTTCTTCCTTCTCCCCGCCATATAGATATTAAAATCTCTCAAAAATAACATCTTATGAGAGATATAACTAAAAGAAATTCTTTTATATATGCCCAGGTGAAATTTTCAAGAGATAGTCAAAGTAATCACCTTAAAATGGCCCCTTGTAGGTAACGGTGAGGAGGGAATTGGGATGCTACAGGGAGGACTTGGAAATGAGGCTCAGTTGTCTTCACCGTTGACCAGCTGCCTCCAATCCCATGCATGTATTGTTTTTGGTTTGTTTGTTTTTGAGACAGGGTCTCACTCTGTCACCCAGGCTGGAGTGCAGTGGCGCAGTCACAGCTCACTGCAGCCTTGACTTCCCAGGCTCTTCCCCCTCAGCCTCCTGAGTAGCTGGGATTACTGGCATGCACTGTCACACTCAGCTAATTTTTTGTATAGATGGGGTTTTGCCATGTTGCCCAGGCTGGTGTGGAACTCCTGGGCTCAAGCGATTCACCCACCTGGGCTTCCTAAAGTGCTGGGATTACAGGCCTGGGCCATTGCGCCTCACCTGCGTTTATTGTTGAGACCTATAAGAGTGTTGTTGCCCTGGCGGAGCTATAGCACAGCTGCAACTTGAGATTTTTCTACCAGTTAGATTTTTGGTAGCATATCAGATTGCACTTTCATCCTTAGTAAACTAAGAAATTGATTCAATTTGTTCTGTAGCAAGTCAAATTCAAAGTCCACAGAGGCCCCTTAGTTTTGACCTTCCATGCTTAGATCAAAGAAACAGTGCGAGAGGTTGCTCTTAAATCAATTTTAAACTCGTACATATAGTTGTTAATGAGGATATGGTGATGGCTCTTTTTGTATTTTTATTCAAGACCAGCCTGGCCAATTTGGTGAAACCCCTCTCTAATAAAAATACAAAAAATTAGCTGGGCATGGTGGCAGGCTCTGGTAGACCCAGCTACTTGGGAGGGTGAGGCACGAGAATCGCTTGAACCCAGAAGGTGGAGGTTGCTGTGAGCTGGGATCGTGCCGTTGCACCCCAGCCTTGGCAACACAGTGAGACTCCATCTCAAAAAAAAGATCTGAATTGTTGGGAGCCATTGCACTACAAATAGAGCTGCAGTTTCACATTTTAATATGTTGTAAAATTTGTACTTAGGCAAAGAAATAACACTGAAATCTTACTTGTTCTTAACAGGGTGGAAGAATGAAAGAAAAGAAAGATGAAAGAATGTTGAATCACTTTGCATGGCTGTATGATGGAAGGAAACGAAACTGAGAACTCCTGCGGCAGAACACGTGGATGGCTTCAACAAGATAATGCTGCTAAGCCATGGCTTTGGAAATTCTCTAATTGTTTTTCTCGTCCCGAGCAGACGCTGCCACATAGTCCCCAAACGGTAACTATATGCAAGACTAAGGATGTAGCAGATTCCTTATGCAGATAGATGAGAGAGGTCCATATGGTCTGGGACACAGTCTCTCATCCTGGAGTCTGTGCTGAGTTTTTCTGTAGATCTTGCCTGTATTGCCCCTTATACCACATTATAGTGATTCCTGACTCAGTGAAAGCACAGCACAATTTTTTTTAACTCCTCTATTTCACTCTGAGTAACAGTTGATGCTATTTAATGTTAAAATTTGGGAAAGATTTCTTTGTCATTAAAGTCACAGATAACAATAATTAAAAATCCACGTTATGTAGTAAAATTGGAGGAAAGTACAGAATACATCGTATTTTACTGTATCCCTCTGAGTTTTGAGTCTGTAATCTAGTGAGGTTTGGGAAGAGCTTAGCCACTGCCTGTTTTTTTTCTTCGAGATTTCTCAAATATTTACATCTCAATATAAATGTATATCTCTCACTTCTTGCTTATTCATTGTGATTTTGACATTTCCTTTCTTTTCTTTTTGAGATAGAGTCTTGCTCAGCCACCTAGGCTGGCGTGCAGTGGTATGATCTCGGCTCACTGCAACCACCATCTCCCAGGTTCAAGCAATTCTCTCATCTCAGCCTCTTGAGTAGCTGGGATTACAGGCATGCGCCACCATGCCCGGCTAATTTTTGTATTTTAGTAGAGACGGAGTTTCACCATGTTGGCCAGGCTGGTCTTGAACTCCTGACCTCAGGTAATCCACTCACCTCAGCCTCCCAAAGTATTAGGATTATGGGCGTGAGCCAACATGTCTGGCTGGGTATTAATAACTTTTTAAAAACCAATTTAATTTTCCATCTTCTCTAGGTTTTCAGTGTCTAGTTTTCTTTGTTGCAAGGCATCAAGTAATTTGCCTCATTTTAGGAGTTTTATTTTAGGGACAGTTGACAGTGAGGGTTGATATCAAAAGCAAGGCTTCCTGGGATGGGATGTTAGATCTGGTCCTCATGGAGTCACACAGTTCAGAATTACAGGGTCAGCTTTACAGATCTTGAAACTCAGTTTTGTCATTGGCATGCAGAATGGAGTAGGTTTAGGGGACCCGCTCATAATAAGCCTGCCCATATGAACCTGATCTATAGAAGTCAGAATACCAATGTATTAATTTCAGTCCGAACTGTAATTACGAAGAGGGCAGAACATGGTGTTCACTGTGGTCAGCCCATGGCTGTTACCTCCGTTTTAGGAGAAGTTTGGTTGAAACTTCAGATTTCTTCCAGATGAGCGTATGCTCCCAGGTGAGTGTAGAATCACAGCAAAAGGGAATGGAGTTGTAGGCATCAGATGGACCCTTGTACGCTGTGAAGGGTGAGCATGTCTCAGTCACTGTAGCAGGGCACTCTCTTCACCTTAATGGCTCTTGCAGTCACCCTGTAAAGGCTGATGAGTTCTGTTCCCCTTCATTGGATAGGTACTGTGCCAAGGGCTCTATCTTATTTTATCCGTCTAGCAACTCTAGGAAGTACATTGAATTGTTCCCAATTTATGGATGAGGAAACTGTTGGGTACCAGCTCCAGCTCCGTAGGTGGGTGCCCTTAGTGCCGGCAGTGGTGAGGGATTGAGAAAAGGAAATAAAGACAGAGACACCACAGTAGAATTTACAGCCTGGGTCCAGGGGACCAACGCAAGCTCAGGAACCGAGCTCTGGGCACCAATCACTTTTATTATGTGCATAATCTCATTGATCTTATGGGCGTGGAAGGGGAGGGTGAAGGGGTAGGTAAGATGGGGTCGGGGGAGCACTTGAAATCCTTCTAAGACATGCTAAACTAGTATTCTGAGTTTATCACTGATTGTTATGGGGTGCTGCTGCTGCAGATGAGGAATCGGGGTTTGACCACACTCAGTGCATCCAGGGGCTTTTATCTTCCAAGCATTGAGGACATAGAGCAGTTAAAATCACTCCATATCCGAGAACCTAGGCAGAGCCTGAGGTATTCCGTGATCTGTGCCCTGCAAGGCTTATCTCCTTGCCAGCTCCCATCTGCAGAGACCTCCCCGGATCTTGTGAGCAGTGGTCGCCTCCCATCTGAGAGGTCTTTGCGTAAGCCCTCTTTACGAGACCCTCATGCAGTTTCCATGTTGAGAAGGCATGTGTGTGACCAGAGCAGTATTGCTTGCTCTGCAACTACACTGAGGTGTTCCCCAGTATTACTGCACTCTCAGATGGTCTTTACCTTAGGCCTCCTGCTGCCGCTTGATTTCTAATTAACCACATCAGTAATTTAGTTTCATATATGAACTTCAGTGTACTCTGAACCAAGCAAGCTTATAATTATTTAGCTGGAATTAACATAGGTCTTCCCCTGGCCATCTTGACTCACAGAAACCAAAGTGTAGGTTAAGTAACTTACCCAAGGTCATACAACTATAGAGTATCAGATTCCAACCCAGGTCTCTGCCACTGATGCTGTGCATTATAACCTTTGTAATATGCTGATTTCCTGTGTCCATTTCGGAGTCATATGACAAACTATGTGTCTTGAATATTTTTCCGAGATAGTTTTCTGATTTCTCTAAATCTTTTCACTGGTTGCAATGTAATTGTTTTCATTATGGCTTTAGGTCATGATATCCTAGGGTTTACGAAAGCGATCAGCAACATGGGTGGGCCATCTGGGTAGATGGCTGGTCTCATCCATGTTTGAAACCTTACTCTTTTCCTTTGGGGAATCTTATCAAAACCCCTTATGGACTGACGACAGGAGTTGTTAAGTAGTGTCCTCAAACCACTGTGTGTGTTAGCCACCTTGATTCAATGCTGTTTGTGACTGGGTTGTTTTCATACCACCTGTTTTGTCTTCAGAAGATTCTGTGAGGCAAGGGGAAATTATCAAAAGGAAGTCAACTGAGGCACAGTGGCTGCTAAAGCTGTAAATAGGCCCACCCACCCCAGTCTGTTTCGATTCAGAGTGTAATCTTAATTTTAGTTGTGTGTTCCAGTTAGTGTTCACTTCCTGGAGACCTCTCTGAAGAATGTCCCTGGTTTTAACTAGCTGTAATTCCATTTTGTTCAGTTATGATTGAGTGATGTAACAGAATCAAACACTTTCTTTTAGTGAATGCAGTAAGATATGAGTAACCTAAAAACCAGTGACCTCATAAAATTAATTTATGTTCTGATTTTCTTTTCTCAGAAAGAGTACATGGAGAACAAGAAAGTTGCTGTGGAATTAAAGGATGTACCATCTCCCCTTCATGCTGGCTCTAAACTTTTTCCAGCAGTCCCACTTCCTGATATTCGTTCTCTTCAGCAGCCTAAAATACAGCTTTCATCTGTCCCCAAAGTAAGCTGCTGTGCTCATTGCCCGAATGAACCCTCCACTTCGCCAATGCGTTTTGGTGGTGGTGGTGGCGGTAGCGGAGGTGCGGGTAGCTTGATTCACCCGGGCGCACTGTTAGACTCGCAAAGCACCAGGACAATCACGTGTCAGGTAGGGTCAGGGTTTGCTTTCCAATCTGCATCTTCACTCCAGAATGCCTCAGCTAGGAACAGTTTGGCAGGCGTTGCAAGTGACTTTCCCAGCATGTGTCTGGAGAGTAACCTAACTTCCTGCAAACACCTGCCCTGTTGTGGAAAACTCCATTTCCAGTCATGTCATGGTAACGTGCACAAGCTGCATCAGTTTCCGACTCTCCAGGGCTGCACCTCCGCTGGCTATTTCCCCTGTTCTGATTTCACAAGTGGGGCTCCAGGGCTTTTGGAAGAGCACATTTCACAGTCGGAGCTAACGCCTCACTTGTGCACCAACTCTTTGCACCTTAATGTGGTACCTCCGGTTTGTTTAAAGGGCTCACTTTACTGCGAAGACTGTCTAAACAAGGTTCGTATCTTTTTATTTCTTACGTTGGGTGCAGCTGAGGATGGAGAAATGACTTTTTTGAAGTGGATTTATCTTGAAAAGCTTTTATTATACATGGGGTTGAAGATTCTCCTATGGCATAGAGGAATCTCCCCATCATCATAATTTTTGCTAGTTCTGAAAGAAACAAAGGGGAAAAGGGCAGATGTCTTTGAAAAGTACAATCATTATTTATGTAGTTTATACTTTTAGAGCCTCTTGTTGCAATAAATCCATTTCCTACACGGGAGACTAGGTTGGCAAAGCCTTCATGTTCTGTTTTCTCTTTAAGGGCTAAAACACAGTGGATTTCTTTCTTTCTTTCTTGCTTTCTTGCTTTCTTGCTTTCCTGCTTTCCTGCTTTCCTGCTTTCTTTCTTGCTTTCTTTCTTTCTAGCTTTCTTTCTTTCTTTCTTTTTTTGTTGTTGAGACAGAGTTTCACTCTTGTTGCCCAGACTGGAGTGCAGTGACATGACCTCAGCTCACCACAACCTCTGCCTCCCGGGTTCAAGCGATACTCCTGCCTCAGCCTCCCGAGTAGCTGGGACAGACTACAGGCGTGCACCACCATGCCCAGCTAATTTTTGTATTTTTTAGTAGAAATGGGATTTCACCATATTGGAGAGGCTGTTCTCGAACTCCTGACCTCAGGATCTGCCCGCCTCAGCCTCCCAAAGTGCTGGGATTACAGGCGTGAGCCACCATGCCTGGCCAGCACAGTGGATTTCTTACAGCTTACATTCAACTTACACATGGCTGCATTCATGTAATGTAGATAACTGCATGTTTTTATTTCGCAGTAATATACGAAACCTGAAACTTGGCCCTAGTCACACTGGTGTTCAAGTGAAGATTTTACTACCCTTTATGTAAAGTGTCTGTGAGGTCTTTGTTGCAGCAGATACATGCTCCAGAATGTAAAGATGTCATGGTGTTAATATATTTCTTGATCATGTCAAGTCACTTCTGGAAATGAATTTATGAATTGATAGCTAATGGTTCTGGGAAAGATTATTTGAAAATATGTTTTATTAGAGGCTAGGAAGCAGAAGAGTAAAACACTTAGAGCGTGTTTTCAGTTGTTGTATATAACTCCAGTCTCTGAAATGATGTCTCTGACACCTCCTCCTCTTCAAAAAAATTTTAAAACAGCCAGCAAGAAATAGCATAATTGATGCGGCCAAAGTCTGGCCAAATATACCACCTCCAAATACTCAACCTGCACCTCTTGCCGTCCCTCTGTGTAATGGCTGTGGAACCAAAGGAACAGGGAAGGAGCCCACGTTGTTATTGGCGACCAGTCTAGGCAAAGCTGCTTCAAAATTTGGTAAATCACAGTATGGCATAAAATGTGCATATTTAAATAGCTTTCAGTATCTGATACTAACATTGCATTTAATCACCTTCGAAGGATTCCTTGTGGTTCTAAAGCTACTGTGTATGTGAGTCTCTATTTCCATATCTTGGTAGAAATCTTTTTATTATCATAGATCAGGAAGTCATTTGCCCTTTATGTTGGGCCGAGGCTATACACAGAAGCTTTGTATAGAAAAATGGGTAGCCTATCAGGAGAAATAAAAGTGCTGGAAAAGACTTGGTGTCAGCTTAGGTTTGAAATCACACTTGTTGATGGTATACTCCCTAAAAGCGTTGAGTAATTTAGCATTGGCTGATTGAAAACAGTATTTGAGAACCAAAGAGTTCTCAGTTAAAATAATGTCCCTAAAAAGTTAATGTGATATGTTTTGAAAACATTTTTACAATGTTAAATCAGATGTTAATGCAGAATGAACTCAAAATCAACAAGAGGAACAGCTTCACCCTTTATCAGCTCTTCAGCGTTTGTTAATACCAAGTAGGTAGATAAGTGTGAGCTAAGCTTGAGAGTTGGGTCCTGGAGCTGCAGTATCATCAGGTACATGCTCCTTCTCAGAGAAGCATCACTGTTTAATATTAGAATGGTTCATGCTTTGAGATGGATTTATTGTGGGCTTCAAGTCACTTGACTCTTAGATTTGTCTTCTCCTGAAAAACAGGAATAATATCTTAGAGTGATACTTGGACAACATGGTTGCTTATTAGGTCAACCAGTGAGGTTGGTAGCCTTAAAACTTAGCATTAATTAATAATTTGGTTTTTCTACCACTAAGAATGATAGGTAGTTTATTATCTTATTTTAATTTGCCATTTATTTTCCACTACAAGTAATTGAAGGTGTTAACATTTCTTAAGGATCACCAGAAGTTGCAGTAGCTGGACAGGTGCTAGAAAACTTACCCCCCATTGGAGTTTTTTGGGATATTGAAAACTGTTCCGTTCCCTCTGGCCGGTCAGCAACGGCTGTTGTGCAAAGAATCCGTGAGAAGTTTTTTAAAGGCCACAGAGAAGCAGAATTTATCTGTGTGTGTGACATCAGTAAAGAAAACAAGGAAGTAATTCAAGAGCTGAATAATTGCCAGGTAAAAAAATTTTTTTTTAGTAATTGTAATCTACTATAGCAGAAGAATAAGCACGTGTTTTTTGTTTGTTTTGAGACAGAGCCTAAGTGTCACCAAGGCTGGAGTGCAGTGACACAGTCATGGCTCACTGCAGCCTTGAACTCTGGGACCCCAGTGGTCCTCCCACCTCAGCCTCCCAAGTAGCTGGGATCACCGATATACACCATCATGCTCAGCTAATTTTTTTTTTTTTTTTTTTTTTTTTTTTTTTTTTTGTTGTTTTTTTTTTTTTTTTTTTTTTTTTTTTTTTTGAGACGGAGTTTCGCTCATGTTACCCAGGCTGGAGTGCAATGGCGCTATCTCGGCTCACTGCAACCTCCGCCTCCTGGTTTCAGGCAATTCTCCTGCCTCAGCCTCCTGAGTAGCTGGGATTCCAGGCACGCGCCACCATGCCCAGCTGATTTTTTGTAGTTTTAGTAGAGACGGGGTTTCACCATGTTGACCAGGATGGTCTCAATCTCTTGACCTCGTGATCCACCCGCCTCGGCCTCCCAAAGTGCTGGGATTACAGGCGTGAGCCACCGCGCCCGGCCATGCTAATTTATTTTTTGTAGATATGAGGTCTACCTATGTTGTCCAGGCTTGTCTCAAACTCCTGGGCTCAAGCAGTCCTCTTGCCTTGGCCTTTCAAAGTGCTGTACATGTATGTTTTTTTAAGAATTCTGATTGAAAATTTGTTTAATGATACTCCATTTGTGTCAAGTTTTCAAATAAAAAGAATTACCAAAAGACCACTTCCAAAGTCCAAAAAACAGTTTAAGCATTCTTTTTTTTTTTTTTTTTTTTTTTTTAAAAAGGGGTTTTTTTTTTTTTTTTTTTTTTTTTTTGGTAAAGACGGGGTTTCATCTTGTTGGTCTTGAACTCCCGACCTCAGGTGATCCACCCGCCTTGGCCTCCAAAGTGCTTGGATTACAGGCATGAGCCACCACTCCCGGCCCTTTTTTTTTTCTTTTTTCGTTCTTAGTAGACACTTGGCATTCACAGTTTAAGCATTCTTATCTTTCAGTTATGCTCCTTAATTTGTACTTTAGTTCTGTACTGGTATCATGGTTATATATGTATTGTTTCCTTTGATTTTCATTACTGCTCTGGCATGTAGAATATATTTGTAATCATAAACTAAGGCCCTGAGAGGTGAAGTAATAAGATCATTTGACTGGGAAGTAGAAGAGCAAGGATCTAAATCTAGATTTATCTGACCCCCAGAGTCTGTGCTTTTAAGCTGGAACTAGAATTCAGGTCTTTTAACTCTCAGACAGTTAATTCTATTGATAGTCCATATTGCATGTCTAAAATTATATACCTGTGTTCTTTACAAAAATCGGTAAGTTATTATTGTATATTGCAAGTGACTGAGGCAACTTTCTCAAAATAAACCGTTTCTTCCTTTGGAGACTTGCATATGAGTCTGATAGTTTTAACAGAAATAAATGCATTTTAGCTCTCTTAGGGATATACTCCCTCCTCTCTCCATCACCTAACCCCAGATCCTGAAAACCATCCGCGGTGCCAAGGGAGAGAATACAGTCGTGGGTTCTCAGTTTGTGTTTCTGGTTGGAGTAATAAATCCCCTTCCCTCTCTTTTTTGCTTATTAGTTGAGACAGAAACTAAAAATTATGGCTTCAGGCTGCTAAAAGCCTAAAACAAAACAAAACAAAACCAACAACAAAATAAGACAGGTTGCACAAGCTTGCATGGGTAGCATAGACAGCTGACATAAAACACAACATTAAGTCTTATTTTAGTCATTTATCTGATCTCTGCCACGTCCAAATTGTTGGCAGAAGCTACTAGAGCAAATTTAACTGACTTCAAATTTCACTTCCTGTTTTCTACTTATTTTCTGAAAGGAGGATGAAAGAAATGCAGAAACAGAAGATTGGAGATGAGAGCAGGGTTAGTAACAGACCCAGTTAGCTCATATGGAGAACCAATGTTGAGGTTACTGAGATCTGGTTATAATTTCTTACCATTCCTAATAGTAATAATAAAGGCATTTTTTTTTTTTGGCTCAGGAATTACTTATTAAAATATTCATAGACATCAATGATGGACTGGGTAAAGAAAATGTGTCACATATATGCCGTGGAATACTATGCAGCCGCAAAAAAGAATAAGATCATATCCTTTGTAGGGCCATGGATGAAGCTAGAAGCTATCATTCTCAGCACACTAACACAGGAGCAGAAAATCAAACACCCCATGTTCTCACTCATAAGTGGGAATTGAACAGTGAAAACACATGGACACAGAAAGGGGAATATCACACAGTGGGGCCTATCTGTCAGGCACAGGGGGCAAGGAGAGGGAGGGAGAGCATTAGAACAAATACCTAATGCATGAGAGTCTTAAAAGATGGCAGGTCGATAGGTGCAGCAAACCACCATGTCACATGTATACCTATGTAAAACCTGCATGTTCTGCACATGTATCCTGGAACTTAAAAATAAATTTTTTTTTAAAAGGCCAGGCGTGGTGACTTACACTTGTAATTCCAGCACTTTGGGAGGCTGAGGTAGGCAGATCATGAGGTCAGGAGTTCAAGACCAGCCTGGCCAAGATGGTGGAGGCCCGTCTCTACTGAAAATGCAAAAATTAGCTGGGAATGGTGGCATGTGCCTTTAATCCCAGCTACTCGGGAGGGTGAGACAGGAGAATTGTTTGAACCAGGACCCAGGAGGCACAGGTTGCAGTGAGCAGAGATCATGTCGTTGCACTCCAGCTTGGGCTACAGAGCGAGACTCTGTCTCAAAAAATAAAAAAGTAAATATAAAATATGGGCAGAATGTGTAGCAATTTTCTAGCCTCAGCTGCTGCTCATTCACCCTTATTATAAATTAATGCAGGTAACCGTTGCCCACATCAATGCGACTGCAAAGAATGCAGCTGATGATAAATTGCGGCAGAGTCTTCGCAGGTTTGCAAATACCCACACTGCTCCAGCCACAGTGGTTCTTGTGTCAAGTAAGTACAGAAACATCTACTAATTTCAGCTAAACTCATTGTGTCGGAAGTTACCGTAGAAGCCGGAAACGTGAAAGTAAAACGTATCCCCAAAGAGGCTGTAGTACGTGAGACATGTTTATGATTATTGTTGAGAACTGTTCAGAAAAAAAATTGGGTCTAGGTGGATTTCTGTATTTTCTCCTTAGAACTTGAATTCTTGTGGGACCAGGTTTATTAAAGAAAAATGTGATTTTTTTTTTTTTTTAACCTTGGGCCCAGTGTTAATAATTTTTAAAGCCTGGGATACGAATTTTCAAATTTGAGTCTCCCCAACATATTATATTTGCTCCCTTTTACGGAAAGTAACGTATGTGTCTTGGAATTCATTGTAGGTACATGGCAAGACTGTCTTACCATGCTAATTCTTTCTGATGTGAAATGTGTTTCTTTTCTAAGAACTGGGGAAGCAACTTTGAATATAGTCCATCCTTGCCTCCTGAATGGGTGTCAATAGACTTGTCTGTCTTTGTTACGTGTTTCTAATGTTTGGGGATGGGGTTGGTCTGTACCTTTTCTTTCAGCTGATGTCAATTTTGCATTGGAACTTAGTGACCTGAGACACAGGCATGGTTTCCACATAATTTTGGTCCATAAAAACCAGGCCTCAGAAGCATTGCTGCATCATGCTAACGAGCTGATCAGATTTGAAGAGTTCATTTCCGACTTGCCCCCCAGGTTACCACTAAAAATGCCAGTAAGTGGGTTTGCATTATTTTTTGCCATTTTCCAATATTACATTGTGGAGGCTGAAAGACAGCCCATAGTAAGGGGGTTGCCATGCCCAGATGGGGCTGTTCTTTATAAGAGGTGGGTCAGATTTTGAGGTAAGGCTTAGAAACCTTCAGTTCTTCTCTTACAAATATACAGAGAATTGGTATATGTGAAGTTTGCTTTTATTTATTTCAAAACATTATATGGAATTGACTTGTAGATTTACCTTCCTGACTTGGCAGTGTCTTCGAAGCTAGCAGTGTTGTGTGTCAGGTGGATAGAAATAATGAATTAAAAGTTACTGTTCTTTTTGCTTCCAAGTATTATGGATAGAGAATATGGTGAGGGTTCTCACATACTTGTGTGGTTGGCATCAAATAAGTGGAGTCATTGTGCATTTTTTTGGTTTTAGCAGGCCTCTGAGGCTGTGGCTTTTTTTTTTTTTTTTTTTTTT